AACCTCTTTTATCCAGACGAAATGTAATCCATACCATGTTACTGTTGAATTGTGAATTATCAATGTATACAGTAGATAAAAAAACAATTATTTGATTTTGAAATTTCTAATACGAAATAAGTAAAAATTACTTTGATTTATATCTTGAAAATAGGATAATTAAACCTTTTTTAGAGAACCTTTCAGATGTTTCCTAATACATTGTATGGATAAACGAGTGCTTTGACAATATCCATAAAAGTATTTTAACTCATTGTTTCAATGAATCTATAAATATAATGCATGAGTTGGAAATAACATAATCCATGACTGAATTGTTTGATTTATGGATTGTATGTTACTTACAATACTACCAGATGAAGAACATGCATCATACAAATCCTTATCCAGGATAATCAGTCAGGTCCCATTCTTGAATCAATTTGAGTCACAATATTTATGAGAGAGTCATAGGCAAAGTCTGTTTGAGTCTATTGTCACATCAGATCAGTCACATCAGTCACTTTCATCTAACACACTCTGTGCAGTTCTGGTGTGCTTGTTATAACAATCATCACATCCTTCACATTCACAGAACATTGTACATGGAAGTCGAGCAACAGCACATCCACACTTCGCTGAGGCGCAGTTTTCACAGCTACATTTCAACAGTTTGAGAATGTAGTCAGGAGCTGATGGCGTTCCTGGTATCAGCAACACTCGAAGCAATGTCTGGTTGAGGGTGTCTTTCATCCAGCCACGGTTGACAGGATCTAGAGTCGGAGGGTCTTCATCTAAAGCATGTTTCCAGGTGCAGGTTTGCAGATGAGCCCTCAATGCATTCTGTTTAAATGCCTCCTGAGTAGGTGACAATGACATAATCTTCATGAGAGAATAAGGCAGCCTTCTGAGGCAGAGGATCCAAATCTGGAGTTCAACATCTCTAAGATGGTAACACACCTTTAACTACTAAATCCGAAATTGCCAACAAACCTTTCCTCATCATCAAACTATAATCCTCAATTTCAGAGGTTTCAAAAACAGCAGGAAAAGAAAAAAGTCAATTTTAACTCTGATAATGGTGAGGACTATAACGAAACATTTTCACTCCATGAATTATATACTGCCCTAGGGCAATATCATGAAACTGCAGCAGGAGCAGACAACATCCACTATCAGCTCCTGAAACACTTGCCCGATTCATGTTTGGAAACGTTACTTAGTATATTTGATGAAATATGGACAACCGGAAATTTCCCTTCTTCGTGGCACAATGCTATTATTATTCCTATTCCAAAGCCAGGACGGGATCATACAGATCTATCCAACTACCATCCAATATCATTAACTAGCTGTGTTTGTAAAACCATGGAGCGAATGGTCAACAATCGAGTAGTCTGGTTCCTGGAGACCAATAACCTCCTGAGTGACATCCAGTGTGGTTTCCGAAAAAACAGAAGTACCATTGACCATTTGGTGCGTTTAGAATCGTTTATTAAAAATTCCATTGTCAACAAACAACATACTGTATCAATCTTTATCGATCTAGAGAAGGCATATGATACAACGTGGAAACATGGTATTTTAAAAGATTTGCATGAATTTGGATTAAGGGGCAGATTACCTCAGTTCATATCTCAATTTCAGACAATTTCAAGTACGAGTGGGATCTACCCTGTCTGATCGTTTCGATCAAGATCAGGGCGTCCCACAAGGCAGTATACTATCAGTCGCCCTTTTCAGCATCAAAATTAATAGTCTCACTAAAGTATTAAACACTAGCGTTGAAGGTTCACTTTTTGTGGACGATTTCAACATTTCTTGTCGTGGTAAGAATATGAATACAATAGAAAGACAGCTACAGCTCTGTCCTAACAAAATTCAAAAATGGGCAAACGAAAACGGCTTCAAATTTTCTAAATCCAAAACAAACTGCATTCACTTTTGTCGTAAATACAAACCTCACCAGGACAAATTCCTGGGCCTCATATTTGACCGTCATCTCACATTCTTACCACACATTAAATATCTCAAGGCAAGGTGCTTGAAGGCTCTCGACTTGTTAAAGTTGTTTCAAATTCCGAGTGGGGAGGGGATCAGACCACCCTCCTTCACTTGTACAGATCGTTAATACGCTCCAAATTAGACTATGGTTCCATTGTCTATGGTGGAACCTGCAAAAGCAATTTAGAATAATTGGACACTACACAGACACTATACACCATCAAGGCCTAAGACTCTGTCCTAGAGCTTTAAGGACCTCTCCCGTGGACAGTTTGTATGTGGAGGCAGATGAACCTTCACTCGAACTGCGCCACATTAAACTTTCACTGCAATATATCACTAAATTGCACTCAAATAAATCTAATCCAGCATACAATTGTGTTTTCCACCCTCAATATGAAAACCTGTTTGAAAATTTTTCAAAACTTGTTCCACCACTTGGAATCAGAATTCAACCACACATCACTGCAGCTAAAATAGATTTAAGCATTATATCACCTCACCGTCTTCTGCTCCCTGGCAGATGGTGAAGCCAGAAGTAGACCTCACTCTTGCCAATCTAAAAAAGTCGGATACCAATCCTTTGGTATATCAACAATCATATATAACCAATTACGCTCCAAATATAATTCTCACAGGTCCATTTTTACAGACGGGTCCAAGGATGGTGGCAAAGATGCAAGTGCCACCATCATTGGATCCAGAACTGTCTCCTCAAGAATCCCAGATTTGAGTTCAATTTTTACTGCTGAGGCCAAAGCTATCCTAACAGCTTTGACCTATATTCAACAACAAAACCAATCTAAATATTTCATCATCTTCTCTGATTCGTTATCTTGCCTTCAGGCACTTAAAAGTGTCTCACCATATCACCCTATTATCCTTGACATTTTAGAACTCTATAATGATCTTTCCACTGGCCAAATTGACATCGTCTTTTGCTGGTTACCAAGTCATGTAGGCATAACAGGTAATTAAAAAGCCGATGCTGCAGCTAAAGCAGCTCTTGACAAACCGTTATCTCCACTTCTTATCCCGTACAGTGATTTCAAACCAACCATCAAATCTTATACTGGGGATCTCATGCAAAAGAGGTGGGACACCCAAGTAGGAAGCAATAAACTACACGAATTGAAACCAACAATCGGTCATACCTACTTGGGTTGTCAGTCAAGACATGACGAGGTTGTATTACGACGATGTCGTATTGGCCACATTCGGTTTACACATGAATATCTGCTTAAGGCAGATGAGGACGAACCTCCTAAGTGTATCCCTTGTGATGAAAGGTTCACCGTCAAGCATAGATTGCTTGACTATGTGGACTTTGCAATCGCAAGGGATTCACATTATCAAAGCATAAATCTGAAAGATCTCTTTTCCCGTGTCAGCGGGCATCTCATCATAAATTCCTTGAAAGAAATTGGTCTGTATAATAAATTTTAAATATTTATGTGAATTAGTAAATGCTTGTTTTTAACTTTGGTCTGATACTACTATTAACAGACGTTATTGAAGGCTCTGTCCAGGAGGTTAAAGTACCGTAAAAATATTGCCCCCCTGTGTGACACGTAATCCTATCATAATCAATGTAACTATCATCAACAAGTGTTTTTAAGCCAACTCATTGATGAGTATTTTTTAATATTGGCTAGCATTGTGCACAACCACCAGTGGCTAAAGTGATGACGTAAATCCTGCTGGGGTATCATGCAGGAAGCAGAGGTACTGTCTCTCCCCATGATCCCCAGCGAGGTGGCCTAGCTATGGTTACTGGTGGCCTATAGCCCGTGTTTTAAAACTGTATATATAATATTGTTATGCTCAAATATTTTCATGAATTGTTTCTAAATATTGTATGCTCAAATATGTTTTACAACTTGTTTTTAAACAAAACTTTGCATTAATGACTAAATTGTCAATATATTAACTTGGTCTCGTCGCTATATGGCTGAGATAATGCCGATGCGACGTTAAATTTTAACTCACTCACTCACTCATACTTGCACAATTAGTACACATTCAATGTTGGGGGGAGGGTGGGGGTAATCCTTTGCTTCCGCCCTTGCCATGTATGTTGTTCACACATTCTACAACTGAAGGGCCAATATGTAGATATCTCACGCTGCATAATTATATCTAGATATGAAATGCACTATTCTATCGGTGAAGGCCGGGACCTGGAAATCGGGATGTGATCAACAAGGGAAATAGTTGATATGTTACAATGTTGCAGGTTGCTGGGGGAAAATGGAGCTCAGACTTCAGCGAACAGACAATAGTAGAAAACAAAGACAAGGGAGGACACATACTTAAACACCAGATATTCAATGACGTCTACTACTCCTGCTTCTTCCCTCGTCGCATCCTTCAGCAGCTGCGTGACTTCAAAATGAGAACAGATGACGTGTATATGCCAGGATTCCCCAGAACTGGTATCGGCCGCTAACTGTCCAAATTGTTTATTCTTTGAGCAATGTCAGATGATTATGTTCTTGATATTTTCAAATGAACATGTCTCGTCATTTCCACAACGTAATCTCATGTCGACGCTTCGGTACCGATTATGGTTTCTTTATCAAACAAATGTCACCTTACTAGCATCTGAACCGAAACGTTGCATTGAGAGATTTAAAAAAGGTTAAATCCATACGTCTTTATTATCCAAGACTGCTTCCTCAGGAGATATCACTGAAATGTAAAGCTTTGCCGACCATTGTGACATCATGGTTTAACCGTTACCCAACAATCTAAATACATCTCTGTGTCACTGAAGGTTGGTTGGTTGGTTTGTTGTTTAACGCCGCACTCAGCAATATTCCAGCTATGTGACGGCGGTCTGTAAATAATCGAGTCTGGACAATCCAGTGATTGACATTATGAGCATCGATCCATGGAATTGGGATCGATGACATGCATCAACCAAGTCAGCGAGCCTGACCACCCGATCCCGTTAGTCGCTTCTTACGACAAGCATAATCGCTTTTTACGGCAAGCATGGGTTGCTGAAGACCTGTTCTACCCCAGATCTTCACGGGTCTGAAGCTTTTTAAGGTGGTTAGCTGAACTCAAGACACTGGTTATTACTTTTTGCAAACTGAAAAGGTTGGAAGCATGATTTTGAAAAATAAATATAATCGCACGCACGTGTCTTATAATATGAAATATATAATCAAACCTAAGTTATTGTTTTCTTGTGTATTTTTTTGGTTTCAAGCCACACTCCGCGATATTCCAGCTGTATGACGACGGTCTATTTAAACAAGTCTGGACAAGACAATCCGGTCATTGACGTCATCGTTCTACGAAATTGAAATACGATGACATGCCTCGACCAAGTCTCCAAGCCTGACCCGCCAGATCGCGTTAGTTGCCTCTCACGACAAACATGAGTTGCTAAAGACCAGTTCTAACCAGCATCTTCACCGGTGAAAACCTCAGAGATTTAAACTGTTATCGACTCGTGTTCATATATTTCATATCAAAAGACATTCGGGTGAGATTAAATATTTATCAACACATCTCTTTTCCATAACTCGTACTAATTTCTATTCAAGACAATGTATGTGTATCGCACACAGGAACCAACTGGACATATTAAATGACAAGCATGTTACTGAACGGAGAGGCGAAAACTATACCCTCAATGAAGCCCATTCTTGAGATGCTGCCACATGAACACTTTGAGAAATTCCCCTCCCCCCGTGTTATCACCACCCATGTTGGAATGTCAGAAGCTCCCGAGGACATTAAAATAAAGAAATGCAAGACTATCTTCACCCTGCGTGATCCAAGAGACGTGGCCGTGTCAATGTATAAAATGGCTTACGGGAAACCTTGGTCGGACATCCCATACTACGGCTCGTTTGAAGATTACTTCTACCTGTTTATCGAAGGCAAAGGTAAGAGAATCGTGTTAGGAAGCAACTATTTAACACATATATAGCAATTGATTCCTTGGCTTACCAAACAAGTTATTATTGCGTTAATGTTTCCAAGAGCCCAAAAACGATTATGCCACGCCCACGAACGGTCTACTGTTTCCTGATTGGTTGATAACATACTGAGTCAAATTAAAAACTTCACATTTTTTAAAAGTAATCCCATATATGATTATACAACGGACAAATGTATCAGAGAAGGTAATTTTTAATCATCAATGTCCAAAGAAGGATTTTAGTTAACGGTGGTAACCATAATTTGTTCCAAGCACCTACAGTATTCGGTAATAACATCAACAGTTTAAATCATAAGTCGAGCACGTTGGTTTGTTGTTTAACGCCGCACTCAGCATTATTCCAGCTATATGACGGCGGTCTGTAAATAATCGAGTCTGGACCAGACAATCAAGTGATTAATATCATGAGCATCGATCCACGCAATTTGAATCGATGACATGAATCAACCAAGTCAGCGAGCCTGACCATCCGATCCCGTTAGTCGCCTTTTACGACAAGGATGGGTTGCTGAAGACAAATTCTACCCCGGAATCTTCAGGGATCGGATAGTCTTGTGTTCCGCGTATAGTAACAAACATAAATGGCAGTCACGCCCTCATGTCAACGTTGAATGATATTGTTAGTATACGAGGATAGTCTTGTGCTCCGCGTATAGTAACAATATCATTCACCGTTGATATGAGGGCGTGAGTGCCATTTATGTTTGTTCTTGCATCTGTTCGTGGAACATGTGAAGCATGCTTTTCTGCCTCTACGATGGGAAAGAATAAATTGCAAATCTACTTGTACATTAGCTGTGTTGTAAATAATGATGCATATTTTTTTTAAATATTACTTTTACACCAGGAAATAGGTAAATAAAAACGATAAAAGTCACATCAATCTGTCATCACCTGGTTAGTCAATTCCTTGTCCTTTTTGATAAATCCAAATCATTTCTATTGTATTTTCTGTCCTATTTGACACTATTGTGATTGACAAGATTCAGGACAAACATGGCAAATATGCTATGCGGCCCTCGCTTTCGAAATCTCTCCCCAATGTTCTCGGTGCCTTAGGTTTGGTACCTCCCAATCTGTAGGACCCGTGAAGATCCGGGGTAGAATAGGTCTTCAGCAACCCATGCTTGCCGTAAAAGGCGACTATGCTTGTCGTAAAAGGCGACTAACGGGATCGGCTAGTCAGGCTCGCTGACTTGGTTGATGCATGTCGTCGATCCCATATTGCGTGAAGGTCCGGGGTAGAATAGGTCTTCAGCAACCCATACTTGCCGTAAAATGTGACTATGCTTGTCGTAAAAGGCGACTAACGGGATCGGGTGGTCAGGCTCGCTGACTGGGTTGATGAGTGGATTGATGCTCATGATATTAATCACTGGATTGTCTAGTCCAGGCTCGATTATTTACAGACCGCCGTCATATAGCTGGAATATTGCTGAGTGTGGCGTAAAACAACAAACCAAACCAAAACCCAATCTGTAGACTGTAATTGGAAAAGTAACTGCATGGGTTTACTGCCAGGATGAAGATCCGGGGTAGAATAGGTCTTCAGCAACCCATACTTGCCATAAAAGGCGACTATGCGGGATCGGATGGTCAGGCTCGCTGACTTGGTTGATGCATGTCATCGATCCCAATTGCGTGGATCAATGCCAATGGTATTAATCACTTGATTGTCTGGTCCAGACTCGATTATTTACAGACCGCCGTCATATAGCGGGTATATTGCTGAGTGCGGGGTTAAACAACAAACCAACAAACCAACTGCCAGGAATGAAAACCCTTCTGACAATCTTGGTAACGCAGAAGGCTGCAGTGTTGGGGAGTCCTTTATTTTCTCCGAGTAGGTTCGACTAGGCAGTACTTCCTGGGAGAAGTCCCATTCACTGTTTGGGCTGCGTGTAGAGGGGGCAAGGGCCCTGAGCTGATGATGAGCCTGACTGTGACAGGATCACCCAAACCCTCTTTGTTGCATTTATTTGCTTAAATCTCTAAATTATGATAAAGCACAAAACTGTGTTCTCACAGTTGATTTCAACGGTCTGTTTCATCACTGGCGAGATGCTGAGAACTTCTTCAATGAGCATCCCGACGTTCCTGTTCATTTCCACAGTTATGAAGAGGCCTTACAGGTAGATACGACATGGTGATATCATCGTGATAGATGCTAAACACCTCGCCTCGAGATGATGGCTTGACATTATGTGTTGACTTTACTGGCAAATTGTTACCCCCTGTAGGTTTCAGAATTGACTTTCACTTTGTGTGAGTTGACTGGAGTCTGAACCTTCATAGAACGAGGGCCAAACGTAGAAGCTTTCGACGACGTCCACACGATGCCTTCATACTCCAATGTACTCACACAAAGTGAAAGTAAATTCTTATAATTTCAGATTTAACTATATTAAACTATAATTTATATAAAGTTTGCTGTAGACTGTCATAATTCAGTCATAGTTTGGATTTGCATTTTTTCGTTTTGTTCACTGTGATTGGTCGTAGCGAGAATATTCTTCAACGGGTTTGCAGTTTCACTCTCTAACTAACGTAATGTATACTAATATGCTAAGTTCTAAATGATTTTTTATGCTAGGGAATTCCCAGGGTTTTACCCCAGGAATATTGGAGTAGTTTCGTCAGTGTCTACGCCATTTCAAGAATACAACTCGTGAAAACGTATGAACGTCAAAATGTGTCGTTCATAAACATATGCTTGCCGTAAAAGGCTATGACTTGTAAGAGGCGACTAACGGGATCGGGTGATCAGGCTCGCTGACTTGGTTGATGCATGTCATTGTATCCCAATTTTGTGGATCGATGCTCATGATATCAATGACTATATCGTCTGGTCCATACTCGATCATTTACAGACCGCCGCCATATAGGTGGAATATTGCTGAGTGCGGTGTTAAATAACAAAACACAAACTCCAAGATCAATCACTGGATTGTCTGGTCCAGATTCTAATATTTTACAGGCCGCCATCAAGTGGTTGGAATACTACTGAGTGCGACGTATACATTAAACAAACAAAACTAATCGCTTGAAAGATATGTTTATGCAATGATACTATGTAAGCACACTGTCAAGGTCATTCGTGGTGATATAATGGTCTCCGTTACATTTCAGGATCCCGTTTTGGCAGTCAATAAATTGTCCGACTTTTTAGGTCTTCCAAGAAATGACAGGCTTTGTCGAGATGTTGCCGAGAAATGTGAATTCTCTAAACTGAAAGCCGACAAGGAACCCTACGCAATGAAATTGGATGGTGAAAACTTTGTGTTCCGTCAAGGTGAGTAATGACAAAAACAACGTTAATGATGGGAAAGGAAGACGGATCGCGCTATTTATATAGATTTACCATTGTCGGGAAAAGGTTAAATCTTAACAAATGTTTTTTGACGGTTGTCTCATGTCTTCGTATGAACCATGATACCAAACACTAGATCTTAACTCCATTATTAAGATGTCGACGTCACTATATGACGGCGGTCTGTAAATGATCGGGTCTGGAACACACAATCCAGTGATTTATACCATAAGCATGTATCAACGCAATGGGATCGATGGTCATGGTTTCAATCACTTGATTGTGTGGTCCAGACCCGATCCCGTTAGTCGCCTCTTACGTTGGTTGGTTTGTTGTTTAACGCCGTAAGACCTATTCTACCCCGGAATCTTCACGGGTCCGCCTCATACGACAACCATAGTCGCCTTTATGGCAAGCATGGGTTGCTGAAGAGCTAATCTACCAAGTATCTCGACGTGATGACACTGCTCTCACTAATGAAAAACGGGATACGAACTTAAGTTATCCTAAGTAGACGGTATATATGATTAAATTAATGGGGGATATGATAGTCGTGCCCCTTGGATCGCTTTGGGTTATAAGTATCAGAGACCCGTGAAGATCCGGGGGAGAATAGATCTTCAGCAACCCATGCTTGCCGTAAAAGGGGACTAACGGGATCGGGTGGTCAGGCTCGCTGACTTGGTTGATGCATGTCATCGGTCCCAATTGCGTGGATCGATGCTCATGATATTAATCACTGGATTGTGTGGTCAAGACTCGATTATTCACAGACCGCCGTCATATAGCTGGAATATTGCTGAGTGCGGCGTTAAACAACAAACCAACCAATGTAAGCATCAGAACAATCTAAACCTTGTCTTTGCAGGTAAATGTGGTGATTGGAAGAACTGGTTCACTGAACAGATGCTGGAGGACTACTATCGCGTGTATGATGAAATGATGACGGGGTCAATGTTCTACGACCGCTATTCCAGATCAAACATGAAGGAAATCTGAACCTTTGTCGCTTTCACAAATCACTGTATTTAGATGTCCGGCCCTCTTGTATAGTTAAAGCCGTAGTTTGTATTTGGATTTTGGTTAGTTCTTTATTTTCCACAGTCGCCACGATAAACCTGACGTATTGCCGATGTGACGTTACATTTTAACTCACTCACTCTATCTTCCCCACAGTGAAGCGGACATTGTGGAAAGATAACATAGATTAATGTTAATATGTTTTTGCTCTCAGTTTCTGAGATACATGTAATTAATTTGATAGTGTATCAATACATGCTTTGGGGGGATGCTTATCCCATTAATAAAAGGGTCACGGGTGGCCCAATTGTCAAAGGCGCCGCGATTCAAAATCTATGTTAGTGGGTTCTAATCGCAGTAACGATCCCTTGTTCATGGGTTTCACCAAAGTGGTAAATTATGGCTTTCCTCCCAGTTCGAGCTGAAACCTCGTGGAATGATTGAAATGCATTGAAAGCTGCGTTTATCCCCTCACTCATTGAAAGGGATTTCGACAAAATGCACGCACAGTATTAACTTCATAATCCCTGGACTCTGTAAAAATCGATGGATTTTTGGATATACGCGTATCCAAGAGTCACTGAACTTCTAAATATGCCAATTTGGTATTCATCGTTCGAGGCATCCGAATACAGTATCGAGTCGCGGGACGTCATTTGATCACATTCACACATAGGTCATTGGCGTCATATAATTTTCAAATATGTTTTAATAATGTTGTGGGGCATTTGGATAGCCTAGTGGTTAAAGCGTTCGCCCGGCACGTCGAATACCCGGGTTAGATTCCCTAGATGGGTATAGTGCGTGAAACGCATTTGTGGAATGTTGCTAAAAGCGGCGTAAAACCATGTTCACTCACTCATAATGAGTTCTTTTGTGTTATGATAAGAGGTCACACAGTTAAGTCACCCGACAGCTTTCTTCCCCATTCAAGGTGACATACTGCGATACAACAATAAATACATTGTTTCTCGTGGACAGACTAGTACTAAAAATAAACCAGCACCTTGATGTTTTAAAACGTTGTGTTGAGCACTAAGAAGAAAAGGTTTCATAACTCATATTTAAAGGTCAGTGTTTAGAAGTAGTTAAGGGTTATAAATATTTAGGTGTCTAATTTTCCAATACGTTGGCATGGAATACACATGGAAATAATGCTGCTGTACAGGGAAAGAAAATATTGTTGGGCATGTTCAGTAGTTTAAAAAATGTTGGGGCTGTAAACTATAGAATATACTTCAAAATATTTGACACGAAAATTAAACCCATTCTTTTATATGGGGCAGAAATTTGGGGATTTACACAAATAGATGCTCTGGAAAGAATGAATACCCCAAACGTGATGGTTTATGGTGAATGTGGACGAGTCCCTTTGTGTAAAGAAAGCACGTCTGAAAATAATAAAATATGGATAAGACTACTTAATATGCCATCCTCAAGATTCCCTAAGAAATGTTACAACTAAGAAAAGTATATTTACCAAATTATTTTCATATAAACCATTGTACATTTAAGTTTAAACTATTACTGACCACTAGCAACATCGAAACCATAAGAAATCTTTCTATGTACATATATCATGCTTTTATACAAAGAAAATCAAGTTTGGAAATTATATGATTGTACCAATTGCTCCTGTAATCATGATTGTACTACAGGCCTGTGGCCTCCTCAGTACGTTGAATAAAGAAATTGAAATTGAACTCATATTTATTTTTTGCTTTCGGCAATGTGCGTGTCATATTCGCAGGACACCTTGGTCACAGTGATATATGTAAATTTTTTAATATCAAGTAACCTTCAAAAGACATAAAATTAAGAATTAGATTTCTCCATACCGTTAAACCCCATTATTCTATTCTAATCCAGGGGGAAGACGTTAAAACAGCCCGCCTCTCAATGAAAGGACAACAAATCAAATTCGCAAAATATTCTAGGTCTGATCCTAGATCATCACCTCAGTTGGAGCAAACATATAGAATATGTTGATAACAGTTGTCATAAAGACATTTCGGGCAATTTCACGCTCCTACTACGATCGGTAGCACAGGAACTCAATGATGTAAAGCATAATAACTTGGGACAGAAAATCACACCCCTCTATACATTTTGACAAGGAGTGACACCCGTCAAGATTGCACACTCAGATCGAATCACAGCTCGATATGGCATGACATATGAATGTCACTAATTTCAAGCTATTGGTGCTGGGTAGACAAACCATACACTACACAATCGTGTTCATCTGTGGTCACCTTACCTCGAGTTATTTTAAAATATGTCAAATCTCAGCTCTCAGCTTCGCCACTGAGGAAAACAAGAAAAAGGTGGCCGGAAGTTACGGCACTGCACGGGCTTGAACTCCGCAAACGTTTCTCATACTCAAATGAAAGTAAAGTTGAAGTAACCATCTCACGCCTAAGGCTCGGTTATGAGAAGCACTAGGACAAGGTATTTACCCGGGCTTCTCACAAATTGGTACAATTCAAAATTACACCAGTGAAGAAATTGTTGACGTCTTTCCCTTACTATTTATCCAATACTGCTTTAATTTAGTATGAAGGTATACTCTGCCCCGCCCCCCCCCCCCCAAAAAAAAAGTTACGTAAAAGTAGTATAATCATGACATGTGACAGATTGTTGCCGACATTCCTACAAAATAAATACCAAATATGAATTAGTCATTTCTGCATGAACTGCGAAACATTTGTGTGGCAAGAATGCGGCACTGCAGAAATTTGGTGAAAAGATGGAAACATCGCAAAAAAAACAATCACGTGAGAGCCTGGTGCTGAAACACACCAGCATGACATACACGTGCAACATCACGTGTTGCGCTATAAACACGTTGGGTTTGCATGCCCTTACCATCTTACATCAAGTGAACAAGTGCCACGACTGACGGAAGCCCAACGCAACAACGGCTTCGGCCGACTGCAAACAGGAGAATCTACTTCAGCTGTAGAGAGGTTTTTCAACGTAGCACCAATCACCATGACAAGACTGTGGAACCACTGCAGAAATTTGGTGAAAAGATGGAAACATCGCAAAAAAAACAATCACGTGAGAGCCTGGTGCTGAAACACACCAGCATGACATACACGTGCAACATCACGTGTTGCGCTATAAACACGTTGGGTTTGCATGCCCTTACCATCTTACATCAAGTGAACAAGTGCCACGACTGACGGAAGCCCAACGCATCAACGTCTTCGGCCGACTGCAAACAGGAGAATCTACTTCAGCTGTAGAGAGGTTTTTCAACGTAGCACCAATCACCATGACAAGACTGTGGAACCACTGTCAAACAAAAGGGACAACACGCGACCTTCCTAGATCCGGTCGACCACTACAGCACAGGACAGATTCATACGGCTACGTCACTTACGTGAAAGAACCACCACGGCCACAACTACGACAATACCAGGATTGCGTAGGATATCAGCCCAAACAGTGAGGAACCGTTTAACGTGTTGAAGATATTCGCGCTGGACGACCCGTTCGAGATGTCATTTTGACGGACCTGCATCGTCGGCTGCGACGTCAGTGGTGTCAAGGTCTCAGAGTATGGCCACAACTGCGATGGAGACAAGTTTTGGTTTAGTGCGGATGGTAGACGTCGTGTTTACAGTCGTCGTGGGGAACGTTATGCGCGAGACTACGAACAGGAAGTGGACAGATTTAGTGGTAGTAGTGTGGTCATGTGGGCAGCCATCCACTTGGTGCAAGTTCTAGGGAAATTAACGGATGAGATTCCCATCATGCAACAAGCGAACGTCATTTTCCAACACGACAACGCCCGACCTCACACGGCAAGACTGGCAACAGCGTTTATCAGGAATCACAATACCTAGGTAGTGCCTTAGCCCTCCAGGTCTCCAAATTTAAACCTAATCGAAAATGTTTGAGCTTCACTGGGTCATGCACGTCAGCACCAACCACAGGAGCTCTGGCCGGCAGTTGGCACAAGCACTGCGATAGAGTGGGTGAACATTCCGCAGGCAACAGCTTCCATGGGACGACAATGCCAGTCAGTTTTGGATTCTAATGTTTGCTTGTTTGTTGTTTAACGCCGCACTCAGCAATTTTCCAGCTATATGACGACGGTCTGTAGAAAATCGAATCTGGACCAGACAATCCAGTGCTTGACATCATGAGCATCGATCCACGCAATTGGGATCGATGACATGCATCAACCAAGTCAGCGAACCTGACCACCCGATCCCGTTAGTCGCCTCTTACGACAAGCATAGTCGCCTTTTACGGCAAGCATGGGTTGCTGAAGACCTATTCTACCCGAATCTTCCCGGGTCGTCGTCTTCACTGATTTTCAGTGATCCATTCATGTAATTTTCACTGCTATTTCACTTTTTACGCTCAATGGAATCTGTTTCTCTCAGATAATCAAAACAGGTTATTCTCTGGCGTTAATTGACGTTATATATGTACTGTGTACGAGCAGTACGACACTAGGTACAAATATTACGTCTCCACTGCCACACAATCCGGTCTGTATTTGAAAGGACAAGGTAGGGAAAGATTTTGATTCACGAGATCTTCATGTATATATAGGCAGCACCAACTACGTTTAGCCTGAAGTCGACCACCGCACTTTATTTTTAACCATGCGATGCTTGGCTTCTTGGGGATATCATAGTATGCATATCTTTAGCCCTTGGATTATTTTTTATTTAGACACATTGATATGTCATGTCAAGATTCAAGGTCATCCTAAGGCTATTGTCTGGAAAATGGTTTTACTGTAAGTCGATGTAACTTGATACGATTACACTTACATTCCATCCATTCAATAGTTATTACATTGCAAGCGATTCTTTGGCATTTGTTAGTTTCCTTAAACCGACAAGAATTAGGCTACGCCCACTAACGGACTGTTGTTTCCGGGTTGGCTGATTGCGTTGCATTATTGCGCCATCGATATCACCAATTTGGTTTAAGTGTCTACAGATTTTTGCAAGTCCATGAGTAAAAAAGGAGCCTGTGGAGTTATTATTGTTGACTTATTTATTTATAAGGACTTACTTCATTATTATTATTCGTTGGTTGGGGTATAAACCTAAACTCAGGTGTGCGTACTGTGGAATCCTCTGTTAACACAAAATATACTGAAGTCAATTCTTTGATATACACACAATTCAAAGAAGGTACATGTAGGACCTAAAGTATAATTTTATCTAAATAGATCGAAACTATTCAGATTCTAATAGGTCTGCAGCAACCCATGCTTGCCGTGAAAGATGACTATGCTTGTCGTAAAAGGCGACTAACGGGATCGGGTGGTCAGGCTCGCTGATTTGGTTGATGCATGTCATTGCGTGGATCGATGCTCATGATATTAATCACTAAATTGTCTGGTCTAGACTCGATTATTACAGACCGCTGTCATTTAGCTGTAATACTGCTGAGTGCGGCGTTAAACAACAAACCAACCAAACCAATCAGATTCTAATATGAAATACAGCGAGCAACAAAAAGTAGGTAAATGAACCTACAGTGTTGAGGGCGCAGTTTTAAATTATACAGGGAACAAATCCATACTACACCGGTCTTAAGATTACCTAGATCTGCTGGCGAGTTCCAAACACACAACGTATCTGTTGCACTGCACTCGCCTGTCACTGTGCAGGGTAGCTTGTATGGAGATATTTTTGTCGCTTCGATATTTTTTTATGGATTTGTAAACCTGATATGTGCCTCCATGACAGGTACGGTAGTTACGAAGCGTAAACAGGTCGGGTGCTTCGTGCAATGAATAGACAACCCTCAATATACACCAGCTGGAGGGGGCGGTCGGGTAGCCTAGTGGTTACAGCGTACGGTCGTCACGCCCAAGACCCGGGTTCGATTCTCGACATGGGTACAATGTGTGAGGCCCATTTCTGGTGTCCCCCGCCGTGATATTGCTGGAATATTGCTATAAGCGGCGTAAAACCATACTCACTCATTCACTAACTGAAGACAAAAGAACGTTGTTGTTGACATGAATGGATCTGATCTGTGTCGTGCATTTATTATGTCAATTGCCAAAGTTTTATTGTTTTTATTGAAGATGAATTTACCCTCATGGATGAAGCCGCTGGTGGAGCATTTAACCCGAAGAATCGATTGATCAAATAAATTCTCGACAGGACAAACAACGACAAAATATTGAAATAAATATGATATACAGGATACCTTTGACATTTGCAGCTTGAAACAGTTAAAAATATAATATGATTTAAATTTTGATGCCCAAAGTCAAAGCGAGAGCTCTTGTTAACTCCGCAAAGCTAAACAGGTTGTAGATTT